TCACCTTTATCATGATCCCTGGAGGAGGGTCCTCCCTGGGTGAGATCCAAAGAACACATCACATGGCTTGGCTAAGAGCTAGATATAATAGTGGCTGACCTAGTTATCGATGCTATTGTTTCTGGTGTACATAGATTAAGAACTAACAAACAAATACTGGCTACTTAGAAGCAGGCTCTTCTCCCATCAAATGGGATTGTCCTTTCTCCCTAGCCACTCCTCTTGTTTTTTCAAAAAAAAAATATTAATAATAAAAGAAGTTAAATCAGAGAATTAGGAAAACAAAGGCCCTCTGCAACTCCAGGCCAGCTATCAGAACAAACGGTGGTTGCCAAGAAACCAGGGGCAGATATGTGTGGAGAGCTTACTGGGGGTAGTGCCAAGCAACACAAAGTATCATTATCTTGTCAAATGTTATTCATGTTGTATCTGTTCTATCAGACACTTCTGTGTTCTGAAACCTTGGACAAGATGCTGCCAGAGTGCTGTTTTGAGGGCAAATAAAACAGCACCTGTCAAAGTCTCCAGTCCACTGGCAGGGGCATTGTAAGGACAAGATGAATATGCTTCCATGGGCCTTGGCCCTCTCTTCTAGCTGTGGAGAGTTGCTACTGCTTTAAGGTCAGCTTCTCACTGATTTGGCTTTGCCTCATTTGAAATTGGTGACTTCTTGCCCAAAGGAGTTTGCAGCTGTGCTATTTAAAAATGTTGAAATCCTAGCAGTTTGAAGTTTTTGCATCTCAGAGCATGAGAGGAAAGAGAAAGCTTCAAATGTTTTGAGAGCTGGAAGGAATGAATGCCTGGGACTCATTGAGACCATCCACTTGGTCAAGATAGAGGTTCTTTGTAGTGCTACATGGCAGATGCCCACCTCTTGACCCTGTTCAGTGTCTCACCAGTGAACATCATGTGAAGCTTCTGGCAACAATAACTGCTGTGGTCTGAATCAGTATGTCCCCTAAACTCACCTATTGAAATCCAATCACTGAGGTGAGAGAATAAAGAGATGGAGACCTTTAAGGAGTTATTAGACTGGGTGTGTGTGGGCAGGGAGGGCTCAGGCCTTGAATCCTAGCTACTCAGGAGGCTGAGATCTGAGGATGGAAATTTGAAGCCTGCCCAGGCAGAAATGTCTGTGAGACGCTCATCTCCAATTAACCAGCAAGAAGGTGGAAGGGAGGCGAGGGCTCAAGAGGTAGAGCGCCAGCCTCGAGAAAAACAACAACAAAAGCCTAAGGGACAACTCCCAGGCCCTGAGTTCAAGTCCCAGTACTGGCGTGGATGCATGCATGTGCACATGTGCATGCGCGCATGCACACACACACTTCAGAAAGCTTACTTTCTAGTGGAAAAGAGAGATACTGACTGTTGTAAAAGAGTGTTGGAAGTACCTGACAGACAAATGCATAAGGTGTTTCTAAAGCACTGGGGAGTTGCACCCAGTTCAGCCTGAACAACAAATGCTTGGGTAGCTCCTACATATTCATTGCTTTGGCATGACTGATACTATTCATTTCAAAACAAATATGCGTCTCTTTCCTCCCAAACACAGCTTGAGAGCCTCTTTTTTTTTGGCACGATTTTCACCCTTGGACATATGTGAGTTGTATCAGAATTCACAGTTTCCATAGCTCCTTTAGTCTCAGGAAGAATTTCCCACAGCTTTATGCAACCACTGCCCACCTTACCATCTTGCAGTTGGGTTGAGAGAAGAGCCAGTGTGAGATCAGAATCCAATTAAAGACTCTTGTTAGCAGATTCCCTGGGTCTTACTAATAGCCTAGGAAGCTTCAACAAGTCCTGAATTAATGAACTGAATGAATAGAAATCAAAGACAGCTTAGCCTGTTCAGCAGCAGCTCCACAACCTTTCACTCCTTAAGACAGTGGCATTTTCACTGCATTTTTCCTGGGAGTAGATGCCATTTTTCCATCAAATAAATTTGGGGTACAACCAAGAAGTAGGGAGAATAAGATAATGCAACGGTTGCCAGGCACTGGTGGCTCACCTCTAGACTCCTAACTATGTGAGGAGGCTGAGATCTGAAGATCTCAAGTCAAAGACAGCCCACGCAGGAAAGTCCATGAGACGCTTATCTCCGTTTAACTAGCAAAAAAGCCAGAAAGAGCTGTGGCTCCAATGGTAGAGCTTTCACCATGAGCAAAAAAGCTTAGAGACATCATCTAGGCCCTGAGTTCAAGCCCTAGTACCTGCAACTATTCACTTACCTACTGAAAACTGCCCAGTCCCCACTTAGAGCTTCTGAGCAATGCTTCTTTTACCTGTCACTAGGAAACAAAGGGTAATTGTGCCTGAAGATCACCACTCAGGCTTTGGATCTAGGCTTAGGTGAGTCTGCATGGTACTAAGAGTTAGGGACAAATGTCAAGGATGTATATTTTCCCATGGTCAAGTTGTTTGTACTCATAAAAGAGCAAGGGAAGTTTACAGAAATGGACTTATGAATTGTCTAACTTGCAAGAAATGAGTGAGGCAATAGGGCTCAAGCAGGAGGAAAGAGGAGGAGGAGCGAGGAGAGTGCAGGCTTAGCAAGGACATCACACCCATGACCTGATAACTGCTATCTTCCAGACGCTCTTTTCATACAATGTAATTCTTTTACAGAAAACTGAACTGCTTCTTCACACAGCTGGTTTGGTGCATTTAGTGCATGGCTATATTAAACTTCATTAGTGGCTCATGCCTGTGATCCTAGCTACTCAAGAGGCTAAGTTCTGAGGATCACAATTCAAAGATTGGACAAGCAAGTTTGTGAGACTCATCTCCAGTTAACTAGCAAGAAGCCAGAAGTGGAGCTCTGGTGCAAGCGGTAAAGTGTCAGCCTTAAGGAAAAAAGCTAAAAGACAGTGCCTAGGCCCTGAGTTCAAACACACACACACACACACACATCTCTTTTGGTAGCCGTGTTTATGACAAAAAGTTATTTTTCAAAAAACAACTCAGCTAGATGTCAATGGCTCATACCTATAATCCTAGGTACTCGGAAGGCTTGAGACCTGAAGCTGGCTCAGAAAAGGAGAGTCTGTGAGATCCTTACCTCCACACCTGAAGTGGAAGTGTGGTTCAATTGGGAGAGTGCTAGCCTTTAGTGAAAAAAGCTAAGGCCCTGCGTTCAAGTCCCACTACTGCAACACGTGCACGGGCACACACATGCACATGCACACACCACACACACACACACACACACACACATACACAAAAAGAAAAGCAAAAAGAAAAGAGAATCTCTAAAAAGCTACATCATGAGGATCCTTTTCTAAATAGTTCCTATACAAAATTAAAGTAGGTTTATGCCTACCACTGAATTTGATTCAAAAATATAAATTGGAGGATCCACTGTTAATTTCATAATAGTTTTCACAGGAAAATTAACATATAACATTAAAATATACATAAACTATATTAGAATTATTGAAGATGTGTCAAATCTGCTTCAAAACGGAGATAATCTAGTAAATTTCCTATGTCAATTTTACACTGAAGTATGTTTGGCCTAAAACTGCCTCCATACATATGTTTAAGTTTCACCTACAGGTTTCTCTCTTCTCAGTGAATTATAACCCCAATTGGTGTACAAACAGATTGTAATGTCTGTGTAACAAGTAGCAGAGTCTCAACCAGTCCAAAGCAGTCTACTGTTCAAACCTCATTCAAATAAGACAAATACAAGCTGTAACCAATCAACCTGACTTTCTACCTCACTTCCTTTACCTGTAGGTCACTTCCTTTTCTCTATTCACAATCAGAACATGCTTATGTGATAGAGCAGAGCATTCTGAACAACTTTTGGTCTAGACTGTTACTTAATTCTAGGACTTTAGAGAAGGCCCATGAATAGCTGCAAAAATAGATTGGTTATAATTTTCTTTTAATTACAGGATTGTTAAAAGGCCAACATTATTACACAATTATTACACATAATGGTGTACGAAACAAGTGCCTATTATTTATCTACTCAGCATTTGTTTTAACCCATTAAATTGAGATTGGTTTTAATTATTTTAGTGATCGAAAGTTTGCATCCCTAATACAAAATGCAAACTAAATGAACTTAAAAATGCCACAAATGAGCCAAGCACCATTGTCTCACACCTGTAATCCTAGCTACTCAAGATGCTACGATCTGAAGATCTTGGACTTTTCCTGAGTAGGAAAGTCCATGAGACTCAAGAAGCTGAGATCTGAGAATCTGCTTTAAAACCAACCCCATGTAGGAAAGTCCCTGAGGCTCTTATCTCCAATTAACCACCAAAAATCTGGATATGGAACTGTGGCTCAAATAATGTACTAGCCCTGAACACAAAAACTCAAGGACAGCTGGGCATCGCTGGCTCACACCTGTAATCCTAGCTGCTCAGGAGGCTAATATCTGAGAATCACAGTTCAAAGCAAGACAGAAAAGTCCCTGTGAGATTCTTATGTCCAATTAACCACTCAAAAACCGGAAGTAGGGCTGTAGCTCCAAGTTGTGGAATGCTAGTCTTGAGTAAAAGTGCTCAGGAACAGCAACTAGGCCCTGCGTTCAACCCCCACAATGAAACAAACAAAATAAAAAAATGAAAAATAAAATAAAATTATATGTAGTATATGAATAAGAATAATAAAACGGTAAAGCTTATCATATTCCATGCACATACGTAACTATAGACCTTGAAAATAAGAAGAATTATTTTCAATCCTCTGAGAATCAGTAGTGTTTCAAGATCATCTTGGGGAAGGGGAAACAGCAGAGAATGGGTCCATTTCCACATGGAGCTCCCAGATCTTGAACTAGAACGTGTGATATCTACCCAGTGCCTTTCTAGTGTGCAGCCCAGAAGTTTCTGGTCACTCGACTGGAATGGCCTACCTCTTCCCCAAGCTGTGGTTTGGGGGTGGGAAACTGAAAGAGAAGCTGGCAGGAAAGGCAAACAACAAAGCCAACAAATTCAAAGGAATGGTGACCTAAGCCCTGGGGGATCCAGATGGGCATTACTTACTGTCTTCCGGTAAGTTGTTTTCCCGTTCTTCTCTCTCCATCTGCTGGCACCACCCTTCCATACGGTCTCGCTCTGCCTGGAGAAGCTTCAGAAACCAATGGCCATCCCGGTGGCACACAGACCTTTGCACGGCCTCCAGGGGGTCTTCTGTGATAGAGTCAATCCAAGGGTCGGGAGGAGGCAGGATGGAGGGGTCAAAATCTGTGTCAAAGTCATCATCGGCAGCACAGGCGTGATAATGGTTTCCTGAGCCCTGAATGCTAACCGTGGAAGTGCTGGCATCCCGGGAGAACTGTCTGGCCATTGGACCAGGACATGAATTGTCCTCTATAGATTCCAGAGAATTTTCCAGATTATCGTGGAAGTCCAGGTCAGCCTGTACCGCTGTGGTCACACTGTTAGATCGAGTAAACCTGCGGAAGCTTGGGAGAATAGAAAAAGAGAGATGTAATTCAAGGATATTTTCCTTTGGTGGTCTTACACATGCTAGGCAAGTGCTGATCACATGAGCCAAACCCCTGCCCTTTGGTTTGTATTCTGTTTTTTGAGACTGAGTCTTGCTAATTTTGCTTTGGCTGATTTTGAACTCACACTCATCCTGTCTCTGCCTCCCAAGTTGCAGGAATTTTGGGAGTGTGCTAAAATGCCTCAAAGATATTTCTTGAAGGTGAGTACTGTTGACTCACACCTACAATCCCAGCTTCGTGGGAGGCTGAGATTGGTATGTTTACAGTTTGGTGCCAGCCTAAGGAAAAAAAAGTTTGTGAGACCCTCTTCTAAACTCATAGCTGGGTATGGTCTCATGCATCTGTTAACTAGCTACAACCAGAAGTTTAAAACTAGAGGATCATAGTACAGGCCCAGGCCCAGCAGGAAGCAAGACCTTATCTCAAAAATAACCAGCAGGAAAAAAAAAATCATTGCAGATGTGGCTCTGTGGTAGAGTGTCTGCCTAGCAAGCTGAAGGCTCTGAATTCAAACTCTAGTTTGACCTAATTGTGCAGAACTTGAAGCAAAATTTCCTTCTTCTCTGACTGTATGCTTGAAGGAGATCCTTGATTCAAGCATTTTGATCACTATGCATCTAATAGAATGACTGCACAATTCTTATTTTTTGTTCCATATGGAATATCAAAGCATATTTTGAGCTGTTTCATGTGTGGGATAAAGTACAGAGCTAACCAAAGTCAGTATAATTAATATCCAGTGTCCCACTTCTCCAAATCTGGCATGACTTAAGTCCTGAAATTAAGGCTGATGACGGGTAAGGAAACAATTCAATTATATCTTAGTCTGTGTAATTTGCTTAGAAATTTGGAGAAAACCACAGCCTGGCCTGGACCAAGACTATCATAAATCCTGCATTTTCCTGCCAGGGTAGTTCTTATCAAGTGAGACTTCCTGAAAGCAAACCAAAGTCTCATTAGGCTCCCACTCAAATGAAAACTCTTTTGGAAAGATTGCAAGAATGTGCCTCTTAGTTCTGTAGGTCCCTGTTGCAATCTGGTTCAAAGTCTTTCGGTGCAGGGCAGCTTATGGTTCTAGAGTTCTCTGACACTGCCCCCCCCCCCCCCCCCGTGCCTTTAATTTTCCTTCCAAGGTAACAAAAGACAACATTAACTAACAGGTTCCACCTGGGCATTTTGCATGGGTAAACATGGCACCAGTGTTTCTCAAGCAAAGCTCTGGGCTTTTCTCCATGACTGCTGCAGTGAAGGTAAGGACCTTATGTAATTTTTTTTTTTTTGGGTCGGTCATGGGACCTAAACTTTGGGGCCTAGGCGCTGTCCCTCAGCTCTTCAGCTCAAGGCTAGCACTCTACCACTTGAGTCACAGCGCCACTTCCGGCTTTTTCTGCTTATGTGGTACTGAGGAATCAAACCCAGGGGCCTCATGCATGCAAGGCAAGCGCTCTACCACTGAGCCACCTTCCCAACCCCCTGATGTAATTTTAAACACAAAAAAATTCATTGGCCGGGCACCGGTGGCTCACACCTGTAATCCTAGCTACTCAAGAGGCTAAAATCTGAGGATCACAGTCCAAAGCCAGCCTGGGGAAGAAAGTCTGTGAGACTCTTATCGCTAATAAACCACCAGAAAATGGGAAGTGGCGCTGTGGCTCAAGTGGTAGAGTGCTAGCCTTGAGCTGAAGAGCTGAGGGACAGTGCCCAGACCCAGAGTTCAGGCCCCACAACTGAGAAAAACATAAAAAACAAAAAACAGAACTTCATTGACCTCTAGAACAGGTAGGAAGCAATCGAAGTCCATGGATAATGGTATCATGATTTCATTTCTCCACTGTGGTTTCTGTGGTTGTTGTTGTTGCTACTTACTAGTTTAATATTTTAATATTATTGTGATAAAATATACACTTTACCACTTTTGCTATTCTGAAATATATAGTTCAGTGGCCTAAAATACATTTGCATCTCACGTGCAAGCATCACCACCACATTTTCTTTTTTGTGTGTGACAATACTGGGGCTTGAACTTAGGGTCTAAAGCACTTCCTTAGCTTTTACATTCCAGGCTGACATTCTACCACTTGAGCCACAATCTCCACTTCTGGATTTTTTGGTGGTTAGTTGGAGATAAGAATCTCACAGACTATTCTGTCCAAGCTGGTTTTGAACCATGCTCCTCAGATCTTAGCCTCCTGAGTAGTTAGGATTACATGTGCCTGATTTAGAATTTTTTTTAAGGAGCTATCACATTGCTTTCCATCTCAGCGATATCATTTGCATTCCTACCAACAGCACACAAGGCTTACAATTGCTCCACATCCTCTTCCACACTTGTTATTTTCCAGGGTTTGGAAACTTGCCTTCCTAACAGGTGTGCCATGGGACATTTCCTCTGGTGGCTCATAATCACCCCATTTAAAGAATTCGCTTGCCTGGTGATTTCCCATCCATCTCACATTTGACAATGCCACTCTTAGAGGATTGTGCACCAAACAATGACTGTCCAACACTGAACGATATAATATGTTCTTTCTTAATGCTTCTGGACAGCCCTGTCAAAGTCAATTAAAACTAGTACTCTAGTCCATCAGAATAAATAATGACAAGAACAATACCAGTAAGTAGTTATGAGTAAGATTTTAGAAGACTCGGAATCATCAAAAGGAGACAGAATAATTACTTCAATGAATCCGTTTCCATATATACACACCAGAGAATAAATGTCAAGGAAAACCTAGCCACAGTATTGATCTGCGTTAATCATTAGGATGGTCAAATCATCATAGTAGGTCATAATTCTGGCCATTCATTTTATGACGATAGACCAACCAAAGCCGCCCATTTCAACCTCTGATGTTTTTAAGAAATTACATCTGTCACCATGATCAGACCTGGCAATGTTTTTCTCCAAAAAAGAAGCAATTTTGCTTGCTTGTAGCAGTGGGGTTCAAATCCAGGAACTTATGTATGCCATGCAAGCACTTTACTGCTGATCAGTTTTTGTTGTTGTTGTTGTTGCAGTATAGGGGTTGAACTCAGGCCCTGGGCACTATCCCTTAGCTCTTTGGCTAAGGGCTAGCAATACTACTTGAGCCACATCTCTGCTTCTGGCTTTTGGGTGGTTATTGGAGATCAGAGTCTCTCAGACTTTCCTGCTGGAGCCATCTTTAAACCACGATCCTCAGATTTCAGCCTCCTGAGTAGCTAAGATTCCAGGCATAAGCCCCTATCACCTGGGCACTTCTATAAATTCTTTAATGCTTAAATGGGCCAAAAAAAAAACAACAAAACAATTTTTTAAATCACATTATGTAAAATTCAGAAAGCAATGTTTCAAGTCTCTTGTATTAGCAAGGAAAGGACGGACAATTCTGCTACACTGCTCTTCTAAGCAGTCCGTGTTTCCTGGAGGCAGTAACCATGTCTGCCTTGTTCCCATTCATCGCCCAGGATCACACTTAGTCTCCTGAAGCTGTGCTTCCTTTCCAGCTGCATGTGTGTGTGACTTGGATGACTCCTCACAACCGTTGACATTTTGGCTGTTGTACTAACACAAAATTCCAACTACTAAAACATGAGGCTTCACTCCACAGGATCATGTTGCCAGAGGCGTTGCATTTCCAAACTTCCATGAAGACTAATCCCTGATTGTTTTCTGTCATTTGCCAGAGACAAAAATCTGTTCCCCACAGAAAACAACAGCTTACTTTCCCTGAGCCTGTTTTTATCTCTACAAAACTACCACAGCATTCCTGAGAGCGGTCTCCTAGCTGTGGATCTTGTAATGTATCCACCTTCTTAAGAAAAAAAAAATGACTTGGCAGTAGATTAATAGAACTTTGCAGTTTAGTCACCCAGAAAGAAATAAAAGTTAAGCAAAATTAAAATGGTTTGGAATTAAAAGCGGTGCTTTTGAACTCAGGCAGCCCTGTCCAAGCTGCTTGCTTCTATCAATTAAGTTCTCTAAGCAAGGGCTTTCTTCTACCGGGAGCTTTCAAAGAATCTTCTGCTCCACAAAGCTGTTTTATGTCTTTCATGTGTAAAGTCATCAAGTTGTTATTGTTGTTTTAAAAATGTTGACAGGAACATAGAAGAGGATCACTTAAGATTAATTTCTGTATTTTTTTATATTTTTATATTTGTGTGTGTGTGTGTTGGTCTTGGAGCTTGAACTCAAGGCCTGGACTGCTAACCCTTGAGCTTTTATCACTAATGGCTGATGTTCTACCACTGGAGCCATAGCTCCACTTCATTTTTTTTTTTTTTTTTGGTGGTTAATAAGAGTTTCACAGGTTTTCTTGCCTGGGCTGGGTTTGAACTATGATCTTCAGCTCTCAGTTTCCTGAGTAGCTAAGATGATAAGCCTGAACCATCAGTGCTCAGCTCATTTCTGTATTTTAAAAAGAATTGACCAGTAGTCATCAGGGGGAGGTATAAAAGCTGTACCTTGGGGCTGGCTGTTTCCAAACCCACAATTTCCACTCTTGAAGCTTCTTTGGTCCTTCCTGCCCTGCAAGCCCAATGTGTAATGGTTACAAGTTGTGAAAACTGCTGGCCAACATGCCTGCCTCGGGGACAGAAAATGAAAACTAGACTGACCTGTGCGGACCACAATACCCTGGCTGATCTGAATCACAGTGAAGTCACTTGTTAGCATTCTCTTTTGCAGTTGCTTTACACTGCTTCTATGAAAGAAGTTTATATGGCTTTCCTGGACACAGAATCTCAAAATGTGGTCCAGGCCGGCCTCAAGCTCATAATCTTCCCACTTCTTCAGTGCTAGGATTATAGATTATAGATATGTGCCACTAAATCGGACTTGATTTCTGATTAGAAGGTTTTTATTTGTTTATTTTTCCTCTCTAGAATTAAGCCATTAACTGTTAGGTGTGGTAACTCTTTCCATGACAAAATCCCCTGGCCTCTTCTTTTTTCAAAAGGGAAACACTAGCTTTTGG